CATTCACCCATGCTGATTAGGAGCGCTACAATACACATGCCAGTTAGATTTACAGTAGCCATACTGATTAGGGGTGATTAGCACCACACTTCTAATTATCACACGCAACGAATTCGGTTTCTACCACTCAACCAATAACGAGGCATCACCACCATGTCACTTGTACTCATAATAGGGTGTTGACCAACCCTCCAAAGGCAAGTACTGGGATTAGGGTCCGCAACATATGTTAGGATTAGGGATAACAAATTGGGTTAGGATTAGTGTTTGCTGCTTTGGTTGGGATTAGGGGCGGCAGCCAGCATAGACAGCTAGGTATGTATTCTGATTGTTGCAATGGGTATAATAACTTGCTTTCCAGATGGCAGCTTATGCAATGCTTGTTCTAATGATTTGCCCTCTCCTACTAGGTTGCAGCTTGTTCTGTTTCGGGACTATTTAGGCAAGCAAAAAATTTCATGTAGTTGAAGAACCTATGGTCTTTCCTACTTTATGTTGTTGTCACTTGCATTTGACCCTGAGAAGTTGTTGTGATGGTCATGCAGCTTGTAGTGTTTGGAAGTCATAATACTCGGAATGTGTCATTTTCACGATATCTTGCCACTTGCTTAGAATATAACTTGCTACTTGCTCATAATATAACTTGCCACATAACTTGCTTAGGATATTTCTTTCTTGTAAAATTGTTTCTTTTAGTTTCAGTTCATTGAGTTATGATTTTCAATTTTTCACTCATCCTTTCAATTCAAATGAGTTATGAGTTTATTTTTGTTTCTTTCAGGTTCGAATGTCTTCCTAAATCCTTCATATTATCTGTTCTTCAATATTTCTTGCATTTAAATATTTCAGTTATTTGTTTCAATATTCCTTTAACCCTTTTTTCAGTTTATGTTTGCTTGTTAATTTTAGTTTCATTTTTTGGTAGCTATGTTGTCATTTTTAGCTTTAGTTTCTTTTAGTTATTTTAGTTTTTGGTAATTTCAATTTCAGTAATGTTTTTTTGTGCTTTTCATTGTGTCCACATTAGTTTTCAATTTATGTTTGTCACTTTCAGTTCAATTTTCTGGTTGTCAATTTCAGTTTCAGTTTCTGGTAACATTTATTTTAGTTTTTAGTCTTGTTTTTTTCAGTGTTTTTTAGTTACAGTTTTCAGTCAAGTTGTTTCTAATGTTTTTTTGTTTCAGTTTTCAGTCAAGTTTTTTATTTTTTTAGTTTTAGATTTCGGTCACCCTTTTAGGTTCGAGTGTCTTCCTAAATCCTGCATATTAGTTGCCTCACCTATAATGTATAAATTGTTACAAAAGGGTAGTCATTGCACACATAAGTTTCTACAAAAGAATTTACCCCCAATTTTAGTTTTCAGTCAAATTTTTTTTTCATTTTTTTAGTTTCAGTTTTCATTCATATTTTTAATGTTTTTTAGTTTTAGTTCCCAATAACCCTTTTAGGTTCGAATGCGCTCATAAATCCTACATATTAGTTGTATAATAACTTACCTTCTAAGTTGGCATCTTATGCAATGCTTCTTCTAATAATTTACCCCTCAGGGTGTAGCTTAACTTATTTTGAGGTTGCTACTCTCGTCTTTTTAATGAATGTTCCTCCAATTTTCAGCTAGTCGTGTTTCCCGATTTATATAGTGAGTTTTATAATAACTTGGCCTTCTAGTTGGCAGCTTATGCAATGCTTGTTCTAATAATTTGCATTCAGGTTGTAGCTTGTCTTTTTGTATTGCTACCGTCATTTTTAATAAATGCCCTCAGTTAGCAGCAAGACATGTTTTGTGGCTTTTTGTAATATGTTTTATAATAACTCGCCTCCCCTAATTGGCATCTTATGTAATGCTTATTTTAATAATTTATTCCTCTAGGTTGTAGCTTGCCTTGTTTTGGTCTGTTAGTCTCTTTAGAGGTTAGTACCTTTATTTAAATACTATATAACAAATTTATTATATTCCCATGATAACAAATATGTGGCAAAAACTTTAGTATACCTTTGAAGTAGCAACTTTAGTATTACGTAGTAGTAACTCCCATATTTATATATAAATTGCTACTAAAATAAAATTCTTCAAAACATATGCAAGTGCGGTCTAGTTTTATTCGCCTCGTCATGTAGAACATACCAGTGTAGACAGAATTGAAAACGGATACACCATTTAAAAGTTATATCAATAAAGAAAAGGTTTTGATTTTATTTGCTTACGTCAGCTTTTGCATCAGCTTGCATGCACTGTTGTTGGGCACCATCCGCGCAGGGAGCGGGGGATGTCCGGACAGGAGTGGCGATCCATGTTGGACGGAGGGTCGCGCGCTCTCCTTTTTGCCGCGCTATATCCCGCTCCTATGTGAAAAGTAGGGTTGTGAACAGTTTCATTGAATAAATAGCTTAATAGGAAACCATTCCTAACACAGGTCTTATGGTCTAGCGGTTAGGACATTGGACTCTGAATCCAGTAACCCGAGTTCAAATCTCGGTAGGACCTATTTTTTTTGTTTCGTATTTCCTGAATCCTTTTCCTATTTTCTGTTTTATTATATCATTTTATGTTTCACTTTCCTCTCCCCTTATAACCATTTTCCATTTTCCTGAATCCTTTTCCTATTTTTTGTTTTATTATATCATTTTATATTTCACTTACCTCTCTCCTTATAACCATCTTCCAAGTTACTAGGTCAAGGTCATACCAGGCTTCGTTCTAAATGACCATCTCTCATGTAAAGAATCGTTCCGTACGCTACTGTACCATGCAAGTACGTTCTTGTTCTTTGTCAAATTTTCTCCATTTGAGGTTCTCTCAAGAATACAAGTAACGCATGTTTTCCTCTTAATTATTTTATATTATTTTTTTGGAATTTAATTCTTTTATATTAACAAAGGTAACAATAACACGGGGTATTCTTAAATGTCAACTTTGGGCCCATTGTAATTTTGTATACCAACAACAACAAATGAAGGTTATAGGAAGAGGGTTTCCTACAATTTGTAAACCATTTATTATATGCTTTTGTTTGAAAAGAATGTGAATCTCATTTCCATTGGAGTCAAATATTCTCAAATATAACTAATTTTATATAGAAAAGTGTAAACATTTTTATCTCTGAATGGTTCATTATGAAAATATAGTTTATCACTAGTCTAATGGTAGTTATTACGTAGCATAACTATCAGTATTTTTTAATATATATTTAATTAAAATTAAGATTAATTGACTCCTCTAAAAATGATATTTATATTTTTTTTGATGCAGAAAGAGAACTAAGTGCACTATGGAGGTCTCAACCATTCAAGTGACAACAAGTGAAGGTTGTACATAGTTGGTTTCATATAATTTGTAAAGTATTTATTATTATACCAAAACTATGGAGGTCTCGACCATTCTGACTTGTTTGGAACACGAAATTTTTGTTTTCTGTTTCGCGTTTTTTTTTGAACCACGGACGGTCGTGTCTTGTTTCGAGTAGACGACGACTTCCATCGTACATGGGTCGCTGGGCCTAATGGGCCATGTATAGTAGATGACGATTTCCATCGTACATGGGCCTCTTGGCCCAATGGGCCATGTATAGTAGATGACGATTTCAATCGTACATGGGCCGCTGGGCCCCGGCGTGGAACGAAGCAAGAGAGCATGCATTAGGCTAAACAATTTTTGTTTCTTTGTCTACCGCCCCCGCCTTTGCTCAAAAAAAAAAAAAAATTCTACTGCCCCCGCCGGCTCTTTGACGAGCTGACGAGGCACGACGAATCAACGACCAATCGCAACTCCAAAGTTGCGACAGACGACGGGGCAACGGCCAATGGCCACGCCCACGCTCGAGAGGGAGCTAGAGAGGTATGCGGTCAGCAGCTGGTGATAGCCAACGACGGCGTCTGTTGTATACATAAGGTGATGAGGGAAAAAGAAAGGGAAGATTAGTGAAAATTGTGTCACCAGTTTACAAAATCATAGATCAGGCGGTCAGCTGATGCTTTGATTACATTATTTTTTAATTGGTAGTTATATGGGCTAAAGAAATGCTTTGGCACAATTTCAAGTGCTGGCAATAGCGTAGGCGATACTAGTGCCGCTGCGTTATTATCACTCTTGTTTTTCCATATGATTCCTTTGTGGTATCAATTAGTGCCACAAAGTTCTACCCGAGGTGGATTTTTATCTTAAATCTTCCACTAGGGCTCGATCTAGAGCCGTCGAAGGGCATTTTTTTAAGACATCATTGGAGGGGTAAGCCGAGGGATGGAGAGTGCTTTGGCACCTACAGATGTTGGGGGTTTCGGGGTGTTTGGTTCTCATCCAGAACTTGCCATGTGCGCTATGGCGTCACCACACTTTGTGGCACAAAAAACTTCCGCCACACCTGAGGCGTGGTTTTGCACTAGGAAAAGACGTGGCTGCCGCAAGTGAGGCGTGGCAACGAGCAAAGGGGAACCAAACACCCCTTTTCACCCCAAAGAGTTATAAATGGGAAAAAGTCTTTTTGACCCCCCTCAACTTTTACGGTTGTCCGATTTACTTCTCTCGTTTACAAAACAGGTTGTTTGACCTTTTCAACTTTCAAAACCGTTTGATTTTGTACCCTGAGGGAATTGAAAAAACTTTTTCCGGGACATTACAGCCATACAGGGAGCGCCACATACTGGATTGGGCCAGTCAATCGCTATGGTGGTGTAGCCAGGCCCAGCTCGGTCCATTAGCAGCACTCACTGGTCGGCTTGCAGATCCATCACGCCATCGGCAAAAATATCTCGCTCTCGGGAACCCTCCGGGTCCCGGTGCGGTAGGCCCACCTCGGATCCTTATCCCCCGCTCGGGACCGCTCCTTGCGCGGTCGCCGCTCGATCCAATCATGACGGCGCGCGTCGCGCCCGTCGCGCTATAAAACCGCCGGGTAGGGGATCCGTGTTCCCCCGTGCTCTCTCAGAGGTGGGTTGGCTTTTCCTCCCCCTCTTACCAAGTCCTCGTCCTCGGTTTAGGGTTCGTTAGGGTTCTGTGGAGGGAGATGGCGGCGGCGGACGTGGAGTACCGTTGCTTCGTCGGCGGGCTGGCCTGGGCCACCAACAACGAGTCCCTGGAGCATGCCTTCGCCTCCTACGGCGAGATCCTCGACTCCAAGGTCTGTTTCGTTTCCTTCTCACTGGGTTTCATTCCGTGGTCGCTTTGTGCTGCTGTGATGCTAGATCCGTGTCGTGGCTCAATAGATCTGCCATGGTTTGGTCCGGATCTGCGTCCGCTCCAATCGAACATCCAGTCTGATGCCGCCGTCATGTGATTTTGCAGGTCATCACCGACCGGGAGACGGGGAGGTCCCGCGGGTTCGGCTTCGTCACCTTCTCCTCCGAGCAGTCCATGCTCGACGCCATCGAGAACATGAACGGCAAGGAGCTCGACGGCCGCAACATCACCGTCAACCAGGCCCAGTCCCGCGGCGGCGGCGGCGGCGGCGGCGGCGGCTACGGTGGTCGCCGTGACGGCGGCGGCTACGGAGGCGGCGGCGGGGGCTACGGAGGCGGCGGCGGCGGCTACGGCGGGCGCCGCGACGGCGGCGGCTACGGAGGCGGCGGTGGCGGCTACGGCGGTCGCCGTGACGGAGGCGGCTACGGCGACGGTGGCTACGGCGGTGGCAGCCGCGGTGACTCCGGCAGCAACTGGAGGAACTGATGTGTGGGCCCACCAAGGCTTCGGCCAAGTTATCCTAGCTATCTATCTATAGTATCGTGTTACCGTTGGATTCTGAGTTACCCATGTGTTAAGTGTCCGTTCTACCTTTTTGGATTAGGTGGTGTTGGTACCCCGTGATATGTTATTGTCCGCTTTGGTTACTTCCGCTATGAGAGAAAAGGCATAAGAAGTGAGAGGTCTGCTATGAAATAATGAAATGAGAAGTGAGCAAGGTTTTTGTTCGTATCTACCTTTGTGCTCGGAAATTGCTGTGTTATCCGTGATTGAACTTGTCTCTTACTGATGGCTGTGGCTATACAAATATCAACTGCCTACCTAGACAAATATCTTCTGCTCCGAGGACGCAGCAAATATACGGAGGACGCAGCAAATATACGGATAACAGATTTAAAGAATTCGCTTCGATTCAAAGAAGAATTCGATATCCTAATACACTATGCTTTATGCTTGTAAATGCGCAATTCTTTCAGTTCTTAAAACATAACACACAATGCTCTCCCAGTTCATACAGATTTATGCTCCTAAAATACACAATTCTCTTTCAGTTCTTAAAATTTTGGAAAGCAATCTAGAACTGCTAATAGAGTTCTCTTGCTAATATGGAGCGAGAAAAATTGCCACCAAACAACTGCATCAGTTTCGAGAGCATGGCAACTAGCAGGCAGACTTTCTGCACTCACGATGCTTAATACGTTTGCACTTAGTACAGGCATGACAAAACTAGCATCGACGCGCTAACAAACTTTTGCACTCTGACGATGCTTGATACAGGCACCACAACTAGCACCGACGCTACAAATATCATCAGTCTACAAATATCATCAGTCTACAAATATCATCAGTCCAGGACGTAGATCCGAGAAGCGACGTCCTGGACCAGCCAGTCGAAGCCCTCGAGAAGCCCCTCTCCGGTGTACGCGCTGCATCCCACAATCTTCCAGTGCCTGCTTCTGTCCATCACTTCCAGATTCAGAACCTGAAAGCAAGGAAGGCGAGTCAGCCTGCCGTGGAAAAAAGAAGAAGCTATAAACGAATTCAGATGGGGAACTGCACTTTCTGCATTCGCAGCACAAACACAATAGAGTATAAAAACCAAATGCTATCAACTAAGATGGAAATCTCAGGCCCTGTTACCCTTTGGTTATGCATAAGCAAATTGTTTTTACGGACTGTTATCACAAGAATGTAGGGTCTGATTACGGAATGTAGCTGCGCGCCACACCATAACCCTATCACTATAAACAACAGCATGAGATGCCCAGTAAAATAACTAATCTTGCTGAATCTAACCACATACTACAGAAGAAGGAAGCTGTAAAAATAGAATGATGCTCTACTGTGGTGCACGGAAAGTCCTCTCCATGTGCCCTGTTCGCTTGGCTGATAAGCCATAGCTGAAAGTACCGTTGGCTGATTTGTTATGAGAGAAAAATATCGTTCGTTGGCTGAAAAAGCATGGCTTATAAGCCAAGCGAACATGGCGATGGCACTTGAGGTTTTGTTAGAGGTGACTTTAGGTTGGATGAAACAACAACAACAACAACAACGGGCGTACCCAGTGCAGAGAGCTCCCGCTCTGTGCGGGGTCTGGGGAAGGGTGTCAGTGGCAAGCCTTACCCTCGCCTGTGCAATGCGAGGAGACCGCGACTCGAACCCGGGACCTTCCGGTCACAGGCGGTAAGACTCTACCGCTTGCACCAGACCCGCCCTTCAACAACAACAACAACAACAACAAAGCCTTTTAATCCCAAGCAAGTTGGGGTAGACTAGAGTTGAAACCCAACATGAGCCCCTAGTCACGGTTCAGGCACGTCAATAGCTGCTTTCTTATTTTTTGGGTTTCATCTCCATAAGAGTAGCTAAGTTTTTACATTAGCTCGTCAAGCCTAACACAACCCTCCTCCTTTACCGGGGCTTGGGACCTGCTATGCTGGGACACCATAGGCGCCCCACCATAGGCGGAGTTTTAGGTTGGATGAAACCAAAAGGCAAAATTTGTTGATCTAAATTGTTAAGTCACAGGCTAAGACTAACCTTACATACTCCCTATCGATGATAAAAAACGCCATAGGGCCCTAACTCATGTCAACATCAACAACAACAAAAAAAAACACAGAGCAAATCAATTATTGCTTATAGCTGTGGCAACATAGTGCCAATAATAGCACAAGCTTATTTCTAGAGAGCAAAGATGTATTCATCCAATTATGCTATATGGATTATTGATGCCCAATCACAAATCCTAATTCTTGTAACACTACAGCTGCTTCTTTTACACCAATTTACTAACAGAATCTGTTTTTTTCACATGAGTGTTTCAATTCTGTCTGAGGACCACATGACAATTTCCATCTAATCAGTGGAAATAATGGGAGTGACTCTGTTCCAGAAGAGAACTACACGCCGGCAACCAAATCTAATTTATGAGCGAGCAAAATGCAAAATATCCACAAGGTACAAATGAGTGGGCATCTAATCAGTGGAAATGATGGGGGTGACTGTGTTCCAGAAGAGAACTACACACTGGAAACCAAATCTAATTTATAAGAAAACAAAATGCAGAATATCTACACAGTACAAGTGTATACAACTATCCCAGTACACACTGAAATTGGATGCTTCAGAACATCCATAATTGAGCATAACTGATGAAACTACATTCAATTTGGCATATCCTTTTGCTCCCACACGGAAGTAAGTAAAATCTTGTCAAACATGAGGACCGGGAAAGTGCAGTACAAGTTAACAATGATTTCACACAGTAAATAACCATAGGAATATAGGAAAACATGTCTCTAATACATATGAACGACTGAAGTTTGCTTACCTTCGCAATTTCAGCTGGTTTTAGAGCTCCCTGTATGTCTTGCTTATTTGCAAAAACCAACAATGAAGCTCCAGCTAGTCTCTGTTAAAATCAACATCTTAAGGATCAACAATTTGAACACTTTCTGAATAGGTAAAATTTTAGCCTATGGTGGCAAAGAGAGTATTCTTTACCGCCAAACACATGGCATTGTACTTCCTTAGTGGTTTGACCATCAATGTTTGAAATGCTATTTTGGTACAATTTCAAACTAAAAACAAGGAGATTCAAGGATACAACTTCTATGCACAAAGGCATAGAGTTTGATACCATCGAGAGAAAAATATCTATTTTCCAGTTCATTAACCAAGAGGCCTCTATCATTAAGTAAATGGGCATTATTCATTTATATCAATTATAGGACCTCTATCATTTTGATCCAAATACCAAACAGTAAATATCAGTCATATTCCCATGGCATTGAACGACCAAAATATTTTTAATACAACAGATATAGAACTACAACGAAATATCCAGTTCATAACCATAGCTTAGAGGTCTGGTAATAGCATACCTCTTCTTTCAAGAGATTGTGGAGTTCAGCACGGCAATCATCAAGCCTCCTTATGTCTGAACTATCAACAACCCAAACTAACCCATCAGTCTGCTCAAAATAATTTCTCCAGTAAGACCTGATCGTCTTCTGTCCTCCAACATCCCATATGTTCAAAGAGTATCTAAGATAATCAATAAATTTAAATAATTAATCAGATCCACCTGCAGTAACATGGAAAAAGTATGATTGCCAGATTTGCTATGCCTGTGGTTTGGAAAATGACAGGGGCTACAATCTCCATTGATTGAAAATTGCCTATGCTTCTGCTGAACTGAATGTTCCTAAAGTTCAACACTGTGCACTGAGAACCTATAGTAGTTCAACACTTCAAATGATGAAAATGCACCTGCAGCAGAGCTTTTAGGTAGCTTGACAAGGAAGCCTCAAAATGCCAACCAGTCTCCGTTTTGCATGAACCGACATGAAAAACTGGACTATCAACTTGCAACCAATGCAATTTCTATTTCACTATCACTATTCTACAAACAGAGAAGTAAAATGTTCAAATTGTTCGTCTATGATGGCAGAACATGTGACGGCTACAAAGAAGGAATGTTGAATTTTGTCTTCACATCTTTATAAACCCTTTTATCACATAATTTACTTCACACAGTGGTCTACTGTAATATTCACCTTAAGAGATTAACAGCAACCAAATCAGCATAAAAAAAAAAAAAGGTTTTGGTGGGTTCTCACTGCATTTATCAGATGGAAGCACACCTAAATGAGTCCATTAGGTTATCTCAACTAAGTTGGAAGTGCTGTAGGTTCTCAACTCCAAGGCACAACTGATGGCACTTGACTGGAAATCTCAACATGCCAACCAGTCTCCTTTTGTATGAACCAAGATGCAAAACTAGATATCATATTGCTGACCTACGCAAATTTTATTTCTATCCAAAAAATTAAAACTGTTTGTCTGATGTTGAAACTATTCATCTGATGGCAGAACACGTGAGGGATATACAGAAGCATACTTGAATTTTGGCCTTAATATTTTTAATAGACAATTTTATCACATGATTTACTCTTTGCAGATTGGTCCCACTATAATATGCTGCTTAAGAAATTAATAATAATGTAGTAGACAGGGCGAGAAAAATGTGTCGCTACGATTCCTACCACGTTATATCAGACGTACGTGCACACGATAGTCCACTAAACAATCGCAACTAAGGTGAAGACTTCTAAAGGTTCTAAACTCCAACAGACAACTAACGGCATTAACCCGCATCAACTAAATCAATGTATAGCCTTTATATGTAAACCATGATGTTCCATTTGGTATTTAGCCTAACATAAAACTCCACTCTAAATCAAGTAACTATGTCACTATGCATATGCATCGGAGCCAAACTGGACTAAACAGGAAGTGGAAGGAAGGGGGATATTACTTGTGGTACTTGATGGTCTTGATGTTGAATCCAAGAGTTGGGCTAATGACGCTGGTGTCCTCCCCGTTGATCTTGAGAACGATGGTCGTCTTCCCCGAGTTGTCCAGGCCCCTGAGACAAACACCGCAGAACACAACATAGCATCAGCCATCATGAATCAATGCAGATGCCAGCCAATTGAGGAATCCGACAACACGAGCACCAGATCCAAAGGAAAGCAAGAACCATGGGGAACAAATGCATAAGGGATCAGACAGAAAAGGAGGCCAGAGGGAACCTACACCATGAGGATGCGCATCTCCTTCTCCTTGCGCTTGATCTTCCGGATGATGCTGAGTAGCCCCATGATCAGTGGTGGAGCGTGAGGGGGAGGGGGGGTTCACCAAATCTGAACAAAGATGTACACCGCTTTTGGATTAAGTCAAATTCAATAGCAAAGCATCAAGAATCCTCTCAAAAAATTATCTGGTTTCCTTTGACAACAAATTATCAATCATATGTCTTGACATATAGAATCATCTGGGGGTCCCAGCTGTTCAACCTCCAACATCTTCAATAATACATTAATTAAAATCTTAAAAGTGTCATAGTTCTTCACATAGCAATTTAACATTATAGATTGAAATGAAGTAATACAATACAAATTGCTGGGGTATAGGGTGTGTGTGCAAATTGAACATTTGGTTTCTTAATGCTTGAAAGCACTTAAAATGTTTCATCTTCAATGGATGAAAAGTTGCAAACAAATTCCGCTCAATATAGCATATCATGCTATTATTAATCCAAAGATCACCTAGCCTCCTATGCCATACGGTATGGATATTGCAATGAGATCACTAGAAACTAGCCATTGGCATTCATCAAACAAAACACGATGCAATGACGATCAGTAATCAATACTCAGTTACTCAATGACTCACTGTGCAGCAAGCGGGCGAGAGGGGCTGGCCGGCTGGGGGCGAGTCCGGCACTCCGCGCTGTGCTAGCGGTCAAGACACGGGCACCAGCAGCCCTGCCGTGCTGGCTGGCAGCCGCCGCGGCCGGCTGGCAGGGGAAGAACTGGGCAGCAGCTAGCGCCCAGGGGCAGTCGGATCTGTGCGCCCAGCGCCCCAGCAGGGGCCACCCGAGAAGGAGGAGGCGAGGTCGGCACTTGGCACTCGGAGAAGGATGAAGGAGGAGACGACGGGGACGACACGGAGGAGAAAGGTGGGGCGGATCTGCGCGGTCGCCGGCCGGGGCTTCGGCCGCTCGGGAGTGGGGGCGAGTCAGGCGACTGAACCGAGCGCTTCTCTGTCAGAGTGGGCTGCCGGCGCTGGGTGGGCTGGACCGTGGAGGCCTCTTTTCCTGTGGGCTGTACTTAGGCTAGATTTGTTTGGGCTCGCCTCGGCCTGCTGCCCACCCGGGTCGCTGGTCCGCCCCCAACTATGTGGTCCAGATAGGAATATAGGGCAGGAAAAAGTCCATTACCTCCCCGAACTATCCTTAAAGTCTAGTTTTCCTCTGAACTCTAAAACTGGGTAAACTACCTTCCTCAACTTTAACCGTTCGTTTTACATCTCTAACCCGGTTGTAGGTGGTTTTCAAATGCGGTTTTGTTTTTTCTTTTTTATTTATTTTGGCTGAATTTTTGAAAAATCATAGTAAATCATAGAAAAATCATAAAATAGAAAATCCAATTTTCTTGGACTCCACATGAGTAGATCTACACAGTGAGTATATAATATAGTATGCTTTAATACAAAGTTTCTGCTGTAGCTTTAGATTTATGATTTTCTATAATTAATTCATAGTTGCAGTTTCTATGGTCCACTTGTGGTGAAATTTTTATGGTCGACTAATTATTGCATGATTGAACTGCAGTAAAAATTCCATGCTCATTGGATCATGTATAACTGAGTTATAGATTTATTCAATTTTATGCTTGTTAAATAGTTTTAAATAGTTAAAAGTGTGTAAAAATAGAAATGAGTATGAAAATTTTACTACATTTAAAGCATACAATAATTAGACCACCATAAAAATTTCATCACAATTAGACCATAGAAACTGCAGTTATGAATTAATTACAGAAAAACATAGATCTAAAGCTACAACAAAAACTTTGTACTAAAGCATACCACATTATATGTTTACTGTGTAGATATAATCATGTGAAATACAAGAAAATTGGATTTTCATTTTATGATTTTTCTGTGATTTACTATGATTTTTCAAAAAAATTGCCAAAATAAATAAAAAATAAAAAAGCAAAACCGCCTTTGAAAACCACCTATAACCGGGTCAGGGAAGTAAAATAAACGGTTTTAGAAGTTGAGGGAGATGATTTACCCGATTTTGGAGTTTAATGAGAAAAACTAGTCTTCGAGGACAGTTCAGGGAGGTAAAATGAACCTTTTCCTAGAGGGTATTCGATGCACGTATGTATCAGATATGTGGATATGATTATCTTTTGAAATAAGAAAACATGGATACAGATATACGACTAAAATATTGTTAATAATAATAGCACACATGATTTTAATATAAATAACATAGTACTAGTAAATAATTGGGATTTAAGCAGTGGCGGATACGGATTGCACCCCAGGCTAACTAATATGAGCCTATAAATCTTACTAGTCGTATACTATTAGATATAGCATATTTTGATTGAAATAAGATAAATAACGATATTGATTCAAAGAGCTCAAATAACAGGTTCAAACAATACGTAGAACATTGATATGGAGACTAGAGTTATCGATCTCATCTCACCTCAGTCACCTGTGAGTTGTGACCTGCCGCAAGGGGACTGCCCGCTAAAGAGTAGGGGGCGCTGGCGGCCGGGTCGGGCGCCGATCGGGGACTGCAGTGGCCGCTGGCTGGGTCATCGGGTGGTGGGTGGCGCCGTAGCCGCAGGGGAAAGCGGGGCGGCTGGCGATGGTTTGTAGAGACGGTTTTGTCAGCCGTCCCTACCACACCATCTCTACAAATCATCGATTTGTAGGGGCGGCTCAATTTTCAGAAATCATGCGATTCTGGGCACAAAAAATAGCTTTTTTTTTACCTGGGGAGGCCCCCACCAGTCAGACACCCGCTTGCTCCATCGAAGTCGCAAGTCATGGCATTAATCGCACGCTTTGCGGCCGGTGGGATTCGAATCCCCGATCTCCCCTCGCACGTACCCTCCACTACCATTGCACCTCGCACTCACTTGTTTCTATATTACATTTTGGTTCCCCACATATTATACTAAACCAAGTATAAATTGATTGATTGAGGTACTAAACAAATTCAAATAAAAAACTTATCAACTATAAAGTTTTATAACTTTTCGAGATCTACAACTTTCATTTTGATAGTTTCTCCATCCGATGTCGTTTACAAAATTTGAATTTGAAATTTGAGAAATCCAAATGTAGTTTTCCATGTCAAAATAAATTCAAATTAAAAAGTTATCAACTACAAAGTTTCATAACGTTTTGAGATATACAACTTTGATTTGGGTTGTTTCTCCATACGAGGTCATTTGAAACATCCAAATTTCAAATTTGAGAAATTTGAACGTAGTTAACGTTGACAAAATTAATTCAAATAAAAAAGTTAGCAACTACAAAACTCCATAACTTTTCAAGATCTACAACTTTTATTTTGGTCATTTGTTCATCTAACATAGTGGTAGTAATACTGTTCACAAATTTTACGTGTCCCTCCTATAGTTTATGCAACTATAAGAGAGATATATAAATTTTGTGAATAATGTTAGTATCACTTTGTCATATGAAGAAATGACCAAAATAAATATTGTAGATCTTGATGAGTTATACAACCTTTATGTTCATAACATTTTCAGCTGAAATAATTTAATATTTCAAAATGACGTTCGAAGTTGCTATTTTTTAAATTCAAAATTCAAATAGATAAAACACAGGCACATGAAAAGATGGATAAAATAATATATGTAAGAACACAATAATTTGATTGAGCATGATTTTAGAAAATTTTAGGAAAAAAATCATCAAATTTGAAGTTAGTATAACGGAGAAAGACTAGTTACAAGTTTTAGTCAGAGATTAAAAAGAGAAATAAGAGTTCTTCAAAATTTAAAAATTGAATTTCAAACAGTATTTTATAGTAGTAAATGATCTCAAATGAAAAAGTTGTAAACAACAAAGTTTCATAACTTTTCGAGATCTACAACTTTTATTTTGATCATTTCTCCAACCGAGGTCATTTGAAAAAATTCGAATTTCAGTGCTTAATTTTTAATATTCGGCGTCTATTTGTAGGGGCGACTGAATATAGAGCCGTCTATACAAATTGGACCATTTTGTAGGAACGACTGATAACATCAACATCCCCTATAAATTTGTAGGGGCGGATCACTTGTGAGGTATTTATAGGAGTGGCTCAATATAGAGCCGTCCCTAAAAAAAAGGAGGCGTTGCTACAAATCGGTTTTGTAGTAGTGCGCGCGGCTTGGGGCTCTAGGCTATGGCAGGCGGGTGTAGCTGCACGGACGGGGTCACGGCCAGCTGGTGGCGGGGGTAGGCCCCACAGGGGCCAGACGTCGGATGGACAACACAGGAAAAGGAGGGCGTGGAGCGGTCACCATCTCGACTCGGGCTTGTTTGGTTCCAGGATTATTAGTCTCATATCAGATGTTTGACACTAATTTAGGGTATTAAATATAGACTTATTAAAGAAATAATTGCACGGATTCAGATTAATTTGCGAGATAAATCTATTAAGACTAAATAGTTCATGATTTGACAATGTGGTGTTACAGTAACATATGATAATGATGGATTTATTAGGCTTAATAGATTCATCTCGTAAATTAATCTCCATCGTAAATTAATCTCCATCTATATAATTAGTTTTATAATTAGCTCATATTTAGTCATCCCGGTATCAAACGTCAAATACCCCAAGCGGCCGCGGTCTCCGTTGCCGCGTCGAGGCCGACAGTGGAGATGACGAGTGACATTGTGTGTACTTGCGCTTGCGGCCAGGGCTAGGATCGGAGCCTGCTGGGCTTTCCTTGCGTCGGGGTGGGCTATTGGGCTGGCTGGCCTTTTTTTTTTGAGGTTTTTGTAAAACCTGTTCCTAGAGTTTTTGAGCCTCGCCCTGGACTGTAGCCTGGGCAGCCCGGGGTTAACAACTTAATAAAACCAAAGTCTCTGCACATAAGACATAATTTAAGTGCATAACTTAATAAGATCATAGCCAAATGACATATGACATAAGACACAATTTTTGAACAAAATATCAGATCGAAGCGCATGATGATTTTGACGATGATGAACAAAAACTACAAAACTACTTGTCGGGTTCATAAACCCGGGGTCCATCGGGGACCAGCTT